CACTGAGGTGGATGACTTGTTGTTGTTGTTGTTGATGATGATGACGGAGGAAAAGCGGTGGAGGAGGATGGTGTGATCGACTGAGTCGAACATGGGGGAGAGGTCCAGGAGGACAAGGAGGCAGAGGGAGCTCTGGTCACAGATAGAGAGGATGTCATTTGTGACTTTCACAAGCGCAGTCTCTGTACTGTGGGCGGAAACCGAACTGGAAGGGTTCGAAGAGGGAGTAGGAGGAGAGGTGTGCACGAAGTTGATTGGCAACAACACGTTCTAAGACTTTTGCGAGGAAGGGCAGGTTAGAAATAGGGCAGTAGTGACTGGGGTTTGAGGGATCTAGGGAAGGTTTTTTGAAGAGGGGGGCGATGAAGCAGTTTTGAGGGAAGCAGGGACTGATCCGGAGGAGAGGGACTGGTTAATGACGTAAAACCAGAGGATATGGCATGCGATTGAGGGGGCTAAATTTGGACAGAATCTACGGACGCACTAAATGTTTCACTATATAAAACAAGTACAATAAGCTCAGATAAAAAAAATGGTTTAACCATAAAGTCCTGATAAAATCAATCAAATGTGCATTCATGGCTATAGTCTTGACAACCTGAATGGGAAGCCACAAGGTGAAAAGTTCTGCTATTTTTATAACAGATTCAATCTGATGATTATCGCATCAAGTGTGTTGAGAAACATGGCCATTTCAGTTGCTCTTTGTCAGAGGTGAATAAACAGGTTTCAGGTGTGAACATTTATTAATCATAATAATAATATTATTAGGTGTGAACGTTTCCCTCACTCCTGCCTTTGTCCCCCACCCCAAACCCCCAGACTTTGATACAGTGCTTGGTTGTGAAACCCCAAGCAGATACTATCATTGTCCTGAGTTGTTTTGATCAAGAGAAGTCTTTCATTGATGCTTTACTATATACCGTTTTAACTCAATCTGAGTATCCCACGAAAAGCCATTTCCTCCCTATTTGGAAACCACGGTGATAGTGTTGAAGTCTTCACAGCTAACCATTGTAAATCACACCATATCTGATATTAAACATTACCGTTTTCATCCCCACGTTATCTTTGCATTCCAAACCTAGATTGCTTTTCATAATGGGAACTGGAATAATTGACAAGCATTTATCAGTGAAATAAGCCTATTTATTAGTGGTTTGAAATTGTATGTGGCTGCTCCAATGAGACTGGGCCTCGTGTTCTGAGTCTAATTGTGTCCTGTGGAGACATATGATGATGCCCTGCAGTCTTTGTTTTAAATTCGTGTGTGTTCAATGCTGATTGATAAAGGGACTTTAAATAACAATCCTTCCATTTGCTACGGCAGTTTATTGGCATTGTTAAAATGTCTCAAAGCGCTTTACATTCACTCTGCGGGGTTAATAATACCTCTTTTTAAAAAAAATCTGGTCACTCAATCCACGACAGTTTTTGCAGTTTTTACACACCTATTGCTGTGTGCAATAGATGGTCGCATTTCGCCCACAAAATTCACAGTTAATTCGCTTTACAATGTATTCTGTGAAGCACTTTGAGATATCTCAACGACGTTTGGATGAAGAAGGCCCTTCGGCCCATCTGACCTATTCCCTCCAGAACCCCCCGCCTACCTCCTCCCATCACAGCATCAGCTGCTTTTTAGATGGGTTCAGTGTGCTGACCTCAACCACCCTTCGTGGTAACCTGTTAATTACCCTCTGGGTAAAGAAAAAAAATGTGGTGTCTGTCCTGAATGGGAAGTCACGATGTGAAAAATTCTGTTGATTTTATAACAGATTCAATGTGATGATTATCGCATCAAATGTGTTGAGAAACATGGCAACTTCAGTTCTTTTTGTCAGATGTGAACGAAAAGATTTCAGGTGTGACCAGTACTGTCCCCATCATACCAGTTCCAGCCAGGCTCCACTGGCTCCCTATCGCCGCACGGATCGATCTCAAGATCCTCACACTCGTTTTCATATCCCTTCATTGCCCTGGCGCAACATTGGAACCAATGATCTGGATCAAGAGGATTGTTCTTCCAAACACAGGAGAACGTATCCAGCAATGGAGGAACCCTCGCCCACAAACATACAGTCATTATATTTTTACAGTAAGTCCTGTCACGTATTGAGACGTCCTCCACACATGAAAGGCGCTATATCAAAAGTTAGAATTCTTCTTCTTATAATAAATGTAGGCTACATAATGCAAAGCCATGTATTGCACACTGCAAGTGGACTGACCTAAGAACTCACAACCAGCTTGAAGTGCTGGTTAGTGTAAGGAGTGGGATATAAAATCAGAACCAAGGGCTCTTCACAGTGTCATCTAGTTTTGTACTGCATTACAGTGAGCTTTTTGAAGTTAATTCAATAAATAGGTAAAAGAATGCTAGAAAATGTATCTTAAATTACACTCAGACCACTACCCCCCATCACCACAAATAATATAATATTAACAAAAGGAATATTGTTCCTCAGAGTTGAAAATTATGCTCCACGTTTTATCCTGTAATTAGTGACTGGAACAGGTTACCAGGGAGGGTGGTTGAGGCCAGGACACTGGACTAGTTTAAAAGCGGCTTGATGCTGTAATGGGAATATGGTAGGGTAGATGTTCTGGAGGAATGAGGCCAGATATTTCGAAGGGCCTTCTCATCCAAACCAATCTTGTGATCTGTGATCTTGTGATCATTTCACCCCACAAGGTACTATTTCACTGGATTATTTTCATTCCATTATGGCTAAAACAGGGCACGCTCGTCAATGAAATTCTCCGTCACTCCTTCACTTAACGCATTTGAGAAAATCATAAACAAAACTAGACATTCCTCTTGCAATGACGCTGCCACAACTGTACAAAGCAGTAAAATTAATCCTTTTTAATCAAAGGCAATAGGAGCGATGGAGTTTTCATTATGTCGTGAAAAAATGAGTGTCTTCAAGGACAAGGATGTGTGACCCACATGACTATTCTACACGTGCGTAATGTGACCTGCCTAAGGACCACCAGTTGGCCATCCCTCCCTGGTCTAGGATATGACTATTTTCGATGCTTTATGTTTTTCTGCTTAGTCTGTCTCACTCTAACTTCAATTTCACTAATCTATTCTGAACGTTTATATTTATTGCGGTGAATAAAGACACATGAGGTCAATATCTTCTTCCCAGTAGGCAAATCCTTGAACATTAGTTTCTGGATCCACACAGTGGATAAAGACCACCAACGTTCCTTCTGTTTGTTCTCTATTTGTAATTAACAGGCATATCATTCCCTTTCAACCCATCGCATTTAACATTTCATTAAATTCCATTTATTTCTAAAGACCATTTGACATAAAGGATTCATGTAACACATTAGCTTTTAGATGTGTCATTATCTTGATCATTAATTGTGGTTTTACTCATTATAAACACTGTTAGAGACAGTACTTCAGTTGTTAAATGGGAAAAAGTACCACAGGGGGAAAGAAGTGTTTCCATCTAAAAATACTCTCTGCGATACATTTATACAAATTATCTCTCCTCCCGGTTAGGAGAAATCTTTGTGTTGTTCTCTCACCAGCAGCTTTGGTGCAGACGTGTCGTGTTAGCTTTGAAATTGTGTGTCCGCCTGGTTCAGTTGTAACACTCTCGCCTCTGAGACAGAAAGCTGTGGGTTCAAACCCCACATCAGGACTCTGAATTCACACAACCAAGGCAGTGCTTGGGGAGCACTTTATTGGTGGAAGTACCATCCTTCAGATGAGAGGTTAGAATCAAGGTCCTCTCTGCCTGTTCAGTTGAATTTTGAAGATCCTATTGCACCATTTGAACAGAGAAGTTAGTTTCTCCCCGTGTCCTAGCTAAAAATACCCCAGATAAAATTGGTAATTTCACTTCAGGGCTGTGTGAAGGACATTGCTCTGTGCAAATTGGCTGCCTGTTCGCCCACAAATCATATGGTCACTGCACTTTACAATACATCCTGTGAAGTGGTTTGAGATATTCTTCTGACCTGAAAGGCGCTATACCAAACGTAAGAATACTCATACGATTCTTATTAGTAAATCATGTGAAGCGCTTTGAGACGTCCTGAGATGAAAGGCACAATATTAAATGCAAGGATTATTATTATTTAATCCAGAAAAGAGATAGCTGAGCTTTGAAATTGTGTGTCCGCCTGCTTCTATTATTTTTACGAAGTTGCTACTTGTCCAGGGCATAACTGCTCTGGTTAAGATCCTTTCCTGGTCCCGCTACAAGCAAAATGTAAGATTACTTTTGACAAGTTTGAGAGAACTTTAATGATTTTTCTCAAACCCGACCCCTACTTGTACTTCATATTAAACCTTCCCACCCCAACACAACCCTCCTCTATTTTAATGCTGAGACCCAAATATAAGGATTCAGATCCCTGGGTCTATATTGGTACAATCATAACAATAATAATAATAAGGGGCAAGAATTTTTTTTAAAAAATTTGTTCACTCAATCCACAACTGTCTGTGGGACTCTGCTTTGCACAATTGGCTCCCAGGTTTTGCCCACAAAATATATGCAGACAATTCACTTTACGGTGTATTCTGTGAAGCGCTTTGAGTCATCTCAACAATAAGGCGCTATATCCAATGTAAGGATTATTATTAATAATAATAATCATGGTTAACAATAATAATCATACTGCCTACTATTTTATAATGGCACTACTTTTCTGCAGGGTTATCCAAGGCCTTGTATTAATCGGTTGAAAGAAGCATTCGATCGAAATGGTTGGCTAGTTATGAGGCACTTGTCCGATGCGGTTGGCATGCATCCCCCTTCCTCCTCCTCTCTGTACGGACAGCTAAAGCCACAAGCGCACTCTGTGAAAATACGATTTGACAGCTGATTTTGCTTGCCTGCCAGGATTCTCACAGCTTATGGCTCTACGCTTCAGCATGATCCCCTCCCGCTGAGTCTGCTTGATCGACTCCTGTAAAACCGCAGAGAATAATAAAGGCCTCCTTAGGCTATATGCAAATTGCAACATACCAAAATCCACAAGTTTGATGCCTCCCTCTGTTGTTAATAGGATGTTATTGCCCTTGATGTCACGATGAATGGTGTTGTTGTTGTGCAAATGTTTAAGCCCCTAAAGGAAAATGAAGATGGGAGTTATATTAATTCTGCAACAACCTAAAATCAGCCACCTAATACATGTAACACAGCAAGCCTTTACTAATGTTAGCAAATAATGTGTACATATAAGAACAACCTATTTCTTGTGACTGTCGCAAGGCTGAGCAGAGAGGCAAGCCATCAAGGCAGCATTTAAATTTTCAGCAAAGGAATCCTATACTTGTTAAAAGGCAGTTCTGTATCTTACCATCAAGGCTTCATGCAGGATGTAGGCAATAATCATTTCATTCATTCTTTCACCTCGTTTCAATAAGCCTTTGGCAAGATCGGTGACAGACCCTCCATTGCACAACTGAAATGACAAAACGTAATTGGTAAATTTGGAATAATAAACAATCCTATTGTAAGTCTGATATAATAATCCTTGCATTTGATTTGCATTTTGCGTTAGTAGGATATGTCAAAGACCTTAAGAGGATCTTACTATAAAGTGTGCTATGTCAAATCAAAGGATTATTATTAATAATGATGATTTTTGCTGGTTTGAATCTGTACTGAATTACAATTCTGCTTCTATTATTTTTAAGAAGTTACTACTTGTCCAGGGCATAAATTTTACTCAGCAAGTAAAATTGAGATTTCACCTAGTCTTTGTCTGTAAGACTATTTTATCCTAATTTGTTCTTTTTAAGAAAAAACAGTTTCCAAAGCAAGCCTGAATTTGAGATGTCGCCAATGTTCTGCCTGTTCTTAAAAGATAAAGTGAAATAGTCTTGCAGGTTGAGATTAGATAGACGTTTGAACCCAACGGGTCTTCAATGACGTAAAGTTGAGTTTACAAGGAATGTAGACTTTTGAAATGTTAAGCAATGCTACTTTCTTAAATGGCTTAGACATTTATTATTTTCAGTGGCTTTATAACTGCTCCTGTGTAGTGCCCCCTGACAGCAAAGCAGCGAGGGCATATAAGGTCCCAAATGGAGATGGCTTACCTGACACAAATCTATCGGTTTCCATTGTACAGACTTCTTGCTGGTCACTAAGTGAGATGTTTTGTCATCGCGGGACACACGTACTCAGGGGAAGGTGAAAAATGCTGCACTGCTACCTTTGTTTTGCTATTTTTTAAATTTATGTCCACGGTAATTTGTGCGCTTATCGAGGCAAAGCGGGAAATGGAGCATTCGTGTTGGGTACTCGGAAGGAAGAACAAACATTGTTTTGTGTAATTTTCTACCTTATCAACACTTTGAAAAGTCTCAAAGCTCTGCACGGTAATTACTGATAGATGTAGTGGCTGTTCTATTCGGCAGCCACGATAGCGAGCTGTGCAGAGCAAAGGCCCTCAAAGATCCATGAGGTGAATGACCATTTAATCTGGTAGACTGTTGGCCAGGACACTGCTTTCTTTTGTGACTGGTGCCCACATGACCTTCAACGTCCCACCGGAAGGCCATGCAATGGGACATGACATCCGACAAGTAGTATCTCCGACCATGTAGACCCAGCACTGTGCCACACTGTCAGCCTAGACAGACTAGGATCTTAAGTGGTCTTTGGGCTCAAACCCTGGGTCAGGAGTTTGAATTTACAGTCTAGGCTGACAGGTCGGTCCAGTGCTGGGGTACTGATGCACTGTGTGAGGTGCCGTCCTTCGAATGTGACGTTGGATGGAGTTCTGGTAACGGCCTCCTTGGTCCATCAAGAGTCTGTCCTTTCAGACAAGATGCTACTCGAAAATGGAAGAGAGTTACTACTGGGGCCTTGGCCAACAATCCCCCAGATAAAATTGGGCATGTAAATTCATGGCTGTTTGTGAGATATTGGTGCGTGCAAATTAGCTGCCACATTCGCCCACAAAATACACAGCCACTGCACTTCGCAGTAAAATGTTGTGAAGTACTTTGGGACGTCTTGACGACGTGACAAGGCACTATATCAAATGCAAGAGTTAATAATATATTATTATTTGAACCCACAACCTTATCACTAGGAGACAAAAGCACTACCAACTGAGCCAAGCTGGCACTAAATCATTTCTACGTGTAGAAAAAAAATTTAATCGGTTGCTTTATATTAACTTGGAGCTAACATCTTCTGAGAAAATATTTTGTGTGTGGCAGAAGGTCTGGAGGAAAAGCTTCCTAGATACAAGTGAATGTGCCAAACATGAGCTGGTGAGGGCATTCCTCTTGCTGCTAAATATCTCAGCTTTAATAACAGGGCTTAATGTACAGTGCTCGTCTTAGCAATAGATTTCCTGTTAGAAAGACTCAGTGAAGAGACGGATCAGCGTAAACTCGACTGCAATGCGTGCTTATTTACGGTTATAATTACACATTGTTAAAGTTGCTATGTTTCGCAGTAAGTTGAATTTCCCATCCGATCTGGAGCAAAGAGGCTTGACTGATCTGCGAACTGTAACTTCAGGAGCATCAGACGGCATACCATGCAACGTTTAAATTGTAGCGACTCCAAACTGGCTTTAAAAGCGACACCGAAAATGAAGCTATGTTATTGCTAACTCAGTTGATTCTTATTGGTAATCATTTCTGCTGTATCTGTTCGCTGACAATAACAAGATACGGCCACAGGCATGTTGGACAAGGGCAGATTTTTCACAGATGTTTCACGTCTCCGCCATGACCTCTCCCCCCGAAACACAGTGATGCACATCCATGGCCTTATTACATCATTTATGCCAACACTCTGCTTGCCAGACCCCCTCCGTCGCTCATGTCTTCTCCTGCACCAGGCTCTGGGTCATTGCTCCCATCATTGCTCAGCTCCACTGGCTCCCCATTCACCAGCAGAGCAAGTTCTCCTCACCCTTGTCTTCAAATCCCTCCACTCCTCTGCACCTCTCTGACCTCTCTCTCAAAACCATGCCCGTTGCCTTCGTTCCTCCGGGTCTGGCCTCCTCCTTGTCTCCCGAGTCCTCCGTTCCACCCTCGGCGGCCGTGCCTTCAGCCACTGCGCCCGAGGCTCTGGAACTGCCTTCCTCACTCCCTTCGCCTCGTTCCCTCTCTTCCTATTTTTAGGTCTCTGCTGAAGACCTTTCTTTTCGACCGCGCCTTTGGTCACCTTCCCCCCCCTCCCCCTGGCTCAGCCCCGGGATCCGTTACTGTGAAGCGTTCTGAGACGCCTTCCGGCGTGGAGTGTGCTATATAAATCCAAGTTGTTGTTGTTGTTTACCATTATATTCCTCCATGGTCTCACATCATCCTAACTCTGTAACCTCCTTCACCCGTACTTTTACAGCTGTTCCCTTCATTTGATTTACAACTTGTCCCCTGTCCATCCATCTCACCATCGCCAGGCAGGCTTTCAGTCACTTGATGCCGACTATGGGATGTCCTCCCAATATGAGAGGTTCTATATACGGTAAGTATAAATTGTATTCGTGGTTGGCACATAGAAGCAGTAGGATAATTGGTTTGGGGACTCAATGGACAATTCTAGTATCAGTCTTTTATGGCCCAATTCATGCTCGAACAATCCTGCGGGCTTTGGGAAGACACAAATGCCAAAGTGGTGCAAAACTGGACAATTTAAAATGGCGGCAAAGCAAATGGAATTTCTAGGGAAAGAAGGAAACGGTTCTTTTGGATAACCAAAAGAAAAAACGGTGTTATTAAATAACATGTTCAAAGGGACACAATAGACATTGTTTTGCATCATTAACACCTCTTTAACCATCATCCCCTGTCCTCTCGCTCATTTTCTCCTTTGTCTTCCTTCCCCTGCCTCCCCCCTCTCTGTTAGCCCTTAAAAGCCTCTCCCTCCCAACATGCCCCAGTTCTGACGAAGGGTCGTGGACCCGAAACGTTGACTCACTTTCCTTTCTCCATAGATGCTGCCTGACCTGCTGAGTGTTCCCAGCGACTTCTGTTTTTTTTACCATAGACATTGTTGTTTTCCTGGTCCAGTGATGTATGGGGAGAGATGGTATTGTGAGGAGGGGAGGAAAGAAGAGGATAAAAAACATTTGATTAGCAACTAATCATACAACTCACCTTGTGTAACTTCCCTGTAGATCAGAAATCTTTTCTCTTTGGTTTTGACTTGAGCAGTTAATTTCTTGCTCTCAATCTCTGTTTATTGGTAGTGAATACAATACACATTTACATTTACACAGGACCTTTCACGTGGGATGTGGGTTATTATCCGGTTTAGTGATGTGCAGATCTGTAACCAGTAGAATTAAGTTGCCTGTATTTCGCTGTTCACAGAATGTGGAACTTGCTTAAAAAATTACACGAGCAAAATGTATCCCAAAAGGCTGTGGATGCTGGATTCATTCACATTTTCAAGACTGAGGTGGATAGGTTTTTGTTAAGTCAGGATATCAAGGGATTTGGGGCAGGGCAGGTAATTGGAGTTGAGGTACAGATTAACCATGATCTTATAGAATGGAACAGGCTTGAGCTGAATGGCCTACTCCTGTTCCTATGCTGTAGTATTTAACACTAGGCTGCTGTGTCGTAATAAAATGCTTTCAACCATCTGTGTCTATCATTGCATCCAAACTTGGAAATAAAAGAGGGGTTCAATGCACACGAGCCCTGACAGAGCAGAGCTGTAATGATTAATCACTGACGTGTTCCACAGACAGAAGCTATCAATTTTAACAGCTCGAGATTGTTTAAAGCTAGGTTTCAGCTTTCTGTGTACAGCTTATTAATAGATGTAATTGCCTCATGTAGATTTAGACACCGGTTACAAATGGTCTCCCAAGGCGCTGGACAGTCAGGGATCAGCACCCGAGCTGAAGGTTGGCATCAGGAGGGATGGAGGGTAGGGGTAGGAAGGTGACCAAAGGCACGGTCGAAGAGGAAGGTCTTGAGATGGGTCTTGAAGGAGGCAAGGGAGGATGCAAGGCAGAGAGACTGTGGGATGGAGTTCCAGAGGGTGTGGGCAGAGAGGCTGAAGGTCCACCTGCCAATGGTGGGGTAGGCAAGGCAATGAACGATCCTGAATGATCTGCAGCCTGTGGAGGGAGGAGTTGGGGAGGCTGACAACCAGGAAGTTTGCTTAGTTGAGCCCAGGTGTGATGAACATGTGGATGAGGGTCTCGACGGCCTGAGGTGAGAGTCAATGTCGGAGCCGGGCAATGTTGCGGAGTTGGGGAAAAGTGGAACGGGTCATGACATGGATATGGGGGATGAAGGACAGTTGAGGGTTGAACAGGATGCTGAGGTTCTGTATTGGCTCCGTGAGGTGTAGAGTGCATCCATGAAGGGCAATGCTGTCAGCACCACAGGTATGGAGGTGCTGGTGGGAGCCAAGCAGAAGGGCCTTGGTCTTGTTGACATTCAATTGGAAAAGTTAGTTCTCATCCAGGACAAGGAG